TAACCCCCTTATGAATTGCAATGGACCCAGCCCTTTGCCTGATTGGGGTCTGCCTGCCATCTAGCGGCAGAAATGGTAACTGCAGCAGGAGCAGGGGGTGGTCAGGACAGGAAGTTGGGTGGTTCTGTGACTTGGGCCTGCTGCCTCCCAGAAACCATTGCACCCGAGTCCCGGGCCAACGGAACCGGTAACACAGACACCACCCGGGATGCTTGTGTTGAATAAGCGGCCATTTTTCTCTCTCTTGAGTGTTGACCGAATCAATTGTAAGCCACGTATTCCCAGAACAAACAGGGACCGACCGACCGACCGGCCGACCGGGAGGGTGGGCGACGTATACACCTGTTCCGTCCTCTCGTTTGTTCTTGGTTTTGAGTGTGAGGTGGGGTACGTGTTGAGATAAATGACCCCTTACTCTCTCCATTTCTAAATATTGATGTCAGAAAGGAAGGGAGAAGGAGAGACATAGAGAAACATCAACGATGGGAGAGAATCGTGGATCGGCCGCCTCCTGCACGCCCCACACTGGGGATCGAGCCCACAACCCGGGCCTGTGCCCTGACGGGGAATCGAACCCTGACCTCCTGGTTCCTAGGTCGATGCTCACGCCACGCCGGCCGGGCTAATAGAATCTTATTATCATCTGAACTGGATTGATGCCTCCTGCACCTTGCTATAGTTCCCCACCTACAAAAATGACGACAGGCATGCTTTTAAAGCTCTTTTGCAATTCCGAACCGCTTGCACTTTTTTAGGGTTGTGGCCATTATAATTCCGTAGAGTTCTAACGTTTATTCTCGCGTCATTTCATGCAAGTCCAAGCATCCAGAATGCATAAGCTCAGGGTTTGCTGTGGAGTCTGGCTGGGTAAACACTTCAGAGCCTCAGTCACTCCAACTCTAAAATGCGGACAGTAAATTGACGCTCACCACTGAGCCACGCCGGCCGGGCTAATAGAATCTTATCACCATCTGACCTGGATTGATGCCTCCTGCACCTTGCTATAGTCCCACCTACAAAAATGACGACAGGCGTGCTTTTAAAGCTCTTTTGCAATTCCGAACCGCATGCACTTTTTTAGGGTTGTGGCCATTATAATTCCGTAGAGTTCTAACGTTTATTCTCGCGTTATTTCATGCAAGTCTGAGCATCCGGAATGCATAAGCTCGGGTTTGCTGTGGAGTCTGGGTAAACACTTCAGAGCCCCAGTCACTCACAACCCTAAAATGCGGACAGTAGCACAGAGGAGCTGCCTTCCAACACATCACATGTCACAGTATTTTAATGTATAAAGTCTAAGAAACCGTATTTGCCCATTCCTCTGCCAACGGAACCGGTAACGCAGACACCACCTGGGATGCTTGTGTTGAATAAGCGGCCATTTTTCTCTCTCTTGAGTGTTGACCGAATCAATTGTAAGCCACGTATTCCCAGAGCAAACAGGGACCGACCGACCAACCGACCGACCGGGTGGGTGGGCGACGTATACACCTGTTCACTCCTCTCATTCGTTCTTGTGGCAGTATTTGTGACCACCAAACAAATATTTGTTAGGTCATTACTTGTCCTGCCCCCATTTTCTATTAATCATTGATACACCTCAAAACTATACACAGCTTCTGATCAGTGTTGGATAAACACTCTCCCATGCTCACATAATGGAATATCATGCAAAAGCAAAGAGACAAGGCCCAGCTGGTTTTTGGCTCAGTGGTTGAGTGTCCACCTATGAACCGGGAGGTCAGGGTTCGATTCCCAATCAGGCCACCTGCCCGGGTTGCGGGCTCGATCTCCAGTGGGGGGCGTGCAGGAGGCGGTCGATCTATAATTCTCTCTCATCATGGATGTTTCTGTCTCTCTCTCGCTCTCCCTTCCTCTCTGAAATCGATCTTTTTAAAAAAATGTTTCTTTGCAAATCAAATCGTTCCTTGACATGTGACCGGGAAGGAGGCGTGCTGTCCTCCTAACGCCGTCTGTCCGTCCCTCCCGCAGGCACGCTTACACAGGCCCCTCAAGAGCCTCGATGATGGAGCGCCGTGTGAGGACGAGGACGAGGACATGGACCGGGCCAGCAAGTCAGTAATGGGGTTGGATGACCTCCCAGCCGCGGGGCTTGGGCAGAGGTCGTAGGTCACACAGGGTACTTGAGAGTGCGCACCCCCAGGCATCGGATGTCACCCCCTTGTGAGGCTCTTCACCTGTCTCGTGGGGGGTGAATCTTGAGACGGGAGAGCAGGGTGGGCCTGGGCTGGCTGGTTCTTGGGAAGCAAGGATGCCTGCGGATGTGGGGGACGTCGGGGACGTGGGGGGCAGGGGAAGTAGGAAGCCACCCACGTTATACCCTGGCTCCCCTCCTCCCCACCCCGGGAGGGGGCAGGTTCAGCATCAGAAACAGGGAAAGTCCCTGGAAACAGACTGAGCCGGGGGATCGGAGAGACTTAGGTCTACGGTGCAACCCACAGTGGTGAAGAGGAATTTTACCATAAAATAAGGGAAATAATAATCATAATAGTGTCTGTTTGACTTCTCAATGTTAACCTACAAGGGTGTGACCAATAAACATTCCTTTCCGCTGTTCCGTCTTGGTCTGTACAAGGGAATATGCGTTCTTCCCTAAGACGGGCGACTAAATAAGTACAAGGATAAACCATATAAAAATATCGAACGTGAACTTGACCCCAGCACATGGCGCAAGCGTTGGGTCTACCATTTCGAAGGCCAAAGTCCCAAGTCCCACAGAATCGGCCTGGGTGACATCCCGGCTTTTTTGCTTCCTGGTGAAGGCGCCGTAGACTTGCCGGCTGCACGTTCTTTTTTTAGAAAAATATGTTTTTGTTGATTTTTAGAGAGAGAGGGCGGGAGAGGGATGGAGAGACAGAAACGTCGATGAGAAACATCATCGATCGGCTGCCTCCTGCACGCCCCCTTCTGGGGATCGAGTGCACAACCCGGGCGTGTGCTCTGACCTCTTGGTTCTTGAGTGGACGCTCAACCACTGAGCCACACGGGCCGGGCCCGGCTGCATGTTCTTCATGCAGCTGCTCGGAACTCCCGGTATGTGCCTGGGCTGGACATCCTCCCCAGGGTGAACTTGGCCACGGACCAGCCTCCGTCTTCTCGCTGTTCCCCCGAGCGGGCCCTGGAAGGGAGGCGGCGAGAGGCGGGGCCCAGCAGACCATGTGGTCGACCGGCCCCCAGAGCGCGTCCCGTGTCCCCGCAGGCTGTCCTCGGAGGACGGAGAGGAGGCCGCGGCTTATTCCTACGAAAGCGATGACTCGGTGGAGACACGAGGGAAGACACTGTACTCGGGGGAGATGGACCTGCTGGGCGAGATCCTGGACACGCTGAGCACCCACAGCTCGGACCCGGGCAAGCTGGCGGCGGCCAAGAGCCTGGACTTCTTCCGCTCCATGGACAACATCGACTACCCGCCCGCGGTGAGTGTGCTCCGGCCCCGGAGTTCAAGGCCCCGGCCCTCCCGTGGCTGCGACGGCCCCAGGCTGTCCTCTTAGCTCATACACGTGTCGGACCTCTAAGGGGCACGTGCCCCAACTTCAAAAATACTCTAACGTTGAATCGTGAAGAATTAATTGTAGTAAAAACAAATATTAAGTGTTTTCCCTTTTATTCAGCCAACTCTGGTAGTGGTTGTCAGGAATTGAAATTCTTTGGCCAAGTAGTAGCATTTCCTGACAACCTAATTCCATAGTTGTCTTTTTGGGGGGGGGACTTTTATAAAACATGAAATGTCCCCACTATATTTTCTAAAGTTCCTTGATCTTAAAATAGACTAAATTTTTGCCGTCTTGCCTCAAAACGGAGCTGTACTTTTAAACAAATTGACCTGAATGCTTTAAAAACACTAGAGCTAGCCCGGCTGGCGTGGCTCAGTGGTTGAGCATCGACCTATGAACCAGGAGGTCACGGTTTGATTCCCGGTTAGGGCACAGGCCTGGGTTGCAGGCTCGATTCCCAGTGTGGGGCGTGCAGGAGGCATCGATCCATGATTCTCTCTCATCACTGATGTTTCTCTCCTCTCTTTCTCTCCCTTCCTCTCTGAAATCAATGGAAATATACATATTTTTAAAAAATATCCTTGGATGAGGATTAAAAAAGAACTAAATAAAATCTTGGACAGTCGCTAAAGCGATGCCCTCATGGTATCAAAGACGTTCCTGAATGCACTGTTTCCTCTTCCAGAATAAATCCAATGCCCCGAGCGAGGACAACCTGGCGGCCCTCTGTGGCGGGTCCGGGGACCAAGGCGACTGGCACCGGGGCCAGGACGACAGCGCCCTCCACGGCCGACACCTCCCCCCATCCCCCAGGAAGCGGGCCTGCTCCAGCTGCGCCACGGGCTCGCTCTTCAGCCTGAAGGAGGAGAACAGTGCCAGGCCCCTCGACGGGGCCCCCGGGAGCAGCCCTCATGGGGCAGACCAGCTGGCCTCCCCCTCTGAGCTGGGTGTCCTTCGGGCTCCTCCGGACGCTGCCCGGACTGAGGAAGGGAAAGCAGACAAGGAGGAAACACTAAGCCAGGCCCCAGACGATCTGCTGATCCCCAGCCTCGAGCGCCGGCCGTCCTCCTCGGTCCCGTGGGAGAAGGAAGGGAACGGCGGCCAGGGGGCTCCGGGAGACCCTGGGCCGCTCCACGAAGCCGCGTCGCTGTGCCCCGCGGCGCCCGCCTTCCAGCCCGACGGGAACGTTCTGGGGGGAAGCACGAGTGGAAACCAGGCCTCCGTCAAGAACTGAGGGACAGCCTCGGGCGTCCACACGTCTCGGGAGACACTGGAGGGTCCCGCGGGACCGTGCAGTAAACAGTTACTTGTAGGCATGGCAACGCTTGCTGTTGTCTAGACATTTTCGTTTTCATGGGAGACATCGCCCGCGGATCTGGTGGGTCCGTGAGACCCACTGATCTTTCGGGGTGAAAGCTACTTCTTCTACTGTGCTCTTCAGTCAGGTACTAGTGTGTGTGTGTGTGTGTGTGTGTGTGTGTGTGTGTGTGTGTGGAGAGTATCATTGGACACGTGACTTCCCAGGATTGGTGCTTACCGCCCCGCATTTTATTTAAACGGAGGATGCGTAAGGAAGCCTTGCACGTGACCCGGCGCTACTCCACGCATCTGGTTGAGCAGGAACCGATCCAGTTAGCAAAACGTATCCGAACTCCCCTCCAACTGCTGAAACTCTTGACCCACGATTGCCTTAATCTTCCGCCGCTAGTCAGCAAGCGTAGCCACTCACGGAATCGCCTGTCAGCCCTCCCAGAGACGTTAGACGTGGCCTGCGGAGCAATAACGCCTTTCTAGTCGTTGAGTCCAGGACAAAAATCTCTCTCTCTTTTTTGTGTTTTTTTTTTTTTTCATTTTTAATGAAAAGCTCTTGTGGACGCTGTAGCCACGTCTTCCAAAAAACAAGTCTCCGGGTCCATGCCTTTCACACGGGGAGCTTCTTGCATGACAGCGTGAAGGGAATGCCTCCTGTTTACACACGAGACACTTTCCACGCCTCCCCCCAGCCTCTCGGGGAGGCCCCTCTTCCTCCTCCGTCCCCTCAGAGAGCCAAAGGCCACCCACACTGTCCTGACTTTTTAAGTTCTGATCTTTTTCTTTCCTGAACTAATACTTCTCTAAATTGCTTATATCTTCAAGTTGGGCTTTAAAGTAACTGACTTTATATGTTAGAGGTTTTAAACTTCCAGGAAAATTGTCCAGGAGGTCCTGATCTCCCGTCCATCCCTACCCACAGTTCCCCTGTTCTAATAGCCCAGGTCAGTATGGATGGTCCGTTCATCACAATCAATGAATCAGTATTTATTTTTAAATATATTTTTTACTGATTTCACAGAGAGGAAGGGAGAGGGAGAGAGAGCGAGAGAAACATCGATGAGGAGAGAGTATCACGGATCAGCTGCCTCCTGCACGCCCCCTACCGGGGATCGAGCCCGCAACCCGGGCATGTGCCCTGACCGGGGATCGAACTGTGACCTCCTAGTTCATAGATCGATGCTCAACCCCTGAGCCATGCCAGCCGGGCTTCGTGAGTCAGTATTGATGGTCCACGCCCCTTTCGGACGTCCTGAGTCTCCCCTGCTGTCCTTTCTCTGTCCTAGGCCCCTATGGCTGTCATGTCTCCTTAGATCCCCCCTTGGCTGGGAGAGCTGCCCAGCCCCTCACGGGTACCATTTCCCTCGAGGTCTTTTCAGCTGGATCCGTGCCTTGCTGACCACGCGGAGTCAGCGTTCGCGTCCACGTTAGGAACAAAAGCCAAACCAAACACTCGCCGCGCTGCGCCGGGAAACCATCCGAAAGACTAGCAGCGAGGATTCCTGTTTCAGCCCATGGAACCGTTGGGTATTCAACGTCTGCTCGTCAGCTGGACTCCCCAGTGCCCCGGTGGACATGGGGGGAATGAAGTGAAATTCACGTGAGTTCTGCCGTGGACAGAAGTGTTCTGTGCTACTCGGCTCCTCTCATCTGTTCCCACGGAGCCAGCCATTTGCAGATTCCCCTGCTCCTGGGGTTTTACGTGTTTGAAGACCTAACACCTGTTTGTCTGACAAGGAGACTTGTGTAGATGAGGGAGACGGGCTCTCCACAGAGCCCGGGTTCTCCCCGGAATCCCCCCCCCCCAGCCTGCATCCTTCGCCCTTAGCGGGGGTACCTGTGGCATTGCAGGGGGAGGAAGAGCAGCGTGTGAACGCCAGGGCTCTTGCTCTGTTAAGGGAGAGTGTTAGGAAGTAGCATGAGGAGTGTTGGTAGCAGAATGGTGACCTCCTTTCGCATGTTTTAGAAAAGCACCCGATTATAGCATGATCGTCGTTCTATTAAAAACGAACAGCCCTCTCATTTAGGAACTAATCACTGACTCTTCGTCCTGGACACATGCAAGGAGCCGTATCTGAGGACGGAGGGAAAGGAAACGGTGGACATTGTCCCTGCTGCGGAGGGACCCGTTAAAAGGGATTGCAAATATCAGTAATAGTGATGATCATGATGGTAATAATAATAATAATAATAATAATAATAATAAATTCTGCTTAGATGTCATTAACCCAAGATTCTAATACCAAAAAAGCCTCCTAAAGCTACTTCATCTCATACTTGCTCTAAGTCAGAACCACAGTGCCATGTCCCAGCTCATGACCTTTCTCTGTAATTATATGAAGAATCTAGAATAATGCTGCTACCCGAGGTACCTACTTTTATTTTTATTTTTTTAAATATATTTTTATTGATTTTAGAGAGGAAGGGGGATGGAGAAAGAGAGAGAGAGAAACATCCATGATGAGAGAGAATCACGGATCGGCTGCCTCCTGCACGCCCCACACTGGGGATGGAGCCCGCAACCTGGGCATGTGCCCTGACCGGGAATCGAACCCTGACCTCCTGGTTCCTAGGTTGACGCTCAATCACTGAGCCACGCCGGCCGGGCTCTAATCCGCTCCCTTTTGAATGAAGACTGTATGTGACAGCTCTGTCACTAACTCCCTAATAAGATCCAGGGTTTGGATGAGTCAGCTGTGTCTTAAACTGGGTGAGGAAGTTCGGCTCCTGTGCCAGAGGAGAAAACTGTGAATATTCTCAGCATCAGTAGCTCTTCCTTCTCTTCTAGAAAAATCTGGATTTTCGGGGGGAGGAAAAAATTACTCTCACGAATACATTTTTGGATGCGAATGCCATTTTGTTTAGCATAAGACACCTTGATTCTCTGGGCCGAGATTTGTCCATGGGAACACAAGTTTAACAATGTCACATGATGAAAAAAAAAAAAAAAAAAGACTGCCAGATGAGTCCCCAGATCTAGTTTCTCCAAAGCGCCTCATGACATGGGAAGGGGTTCTTTCAAATGGGGTCAGTCCTGGGGTCTGTCTTACGCGGAGCCCGCCCTCTGGTCAGTGTCTGTGTCTTCAAGCCTGTTTGAGAGAGAGGATGATTTTGATTTGTTCTAGAAAGTTCTGTGTGTTTAGAAAGAAGGATGTTTCATTTTGCAAATGATAGGATTTTTGTGCAATATCGTTTCTTGCATCATTTCTTCAGATACATATGCAAATCTGCTTTGGTAGCAGATGCCTTAAGGTGTTCTTGTTCGGTATTTGTGTAAAACTGTATGTAGTACTGCCCCCGGTGATGTGTTCAGGGGGAAAAAATGTATAGTGTTTCCGTGGTTGGCAGGAGAAGTGTGTTTGTTTATTTAAAATGATTGTGGCCTGTGCATCCTCACGAACTGCCTCAGCAACAGTAAATATGCAAGAAGAACCCGCAGCCTTAGGTGAGGGTTGGCCATGCTGTGTTTTTAAAGGACACGGGCACAGGGCAGCGTGTGGATGCTACGTGTCCATTGAACAAACACCCAGCCCGCGCCACGCCAATCGAAGGGGCATTTGTCGGGCGACGCCCGCAGCTGGGCACCGCCTGTGAATGAAGTTCATTTCTTTGTGTGTGATGTACAGTCTGTTGCACCTTCCAGCTTCTCCAGGTTTCTACCTTTACGATACTTGAATCCAGCAAGAAAGCACTGTGGGAGTTCTGTAGCCCGGGATACAATATGCAAATCTACCAAAAAGCAAACAAAACAAAGTGAAGGTACAGACTCAAAGGTACTGAGCAGCGGCGTCCGCCGGATGCTGTGTTCGCTCCCTGCCTGGCATGAAGGAATCGCGAGCCACACAATCGTTTGTCTTCAAAGGCTGCAGAACCACAAAAAGGTTACCTCGTTGATGTGAGACACCCCTCAGTCTCTCGGTCCGTGGAACTCCCGTTCTCCGTGGGGTCGCCTGTTCATGTCCCTCAAGAAGGGACAACGAGGGACACGAACAAATCGGCCTCTGGTTGGTCCCGTGACGTCGAGGATGGGACGGAAGAGGCTGGGTGCGTCCTCCAGGTACCACACCCCTCCGTCGGCCTCCTTCAGGGAACACCCCTCCTCCCTCTACACACTTGACTTGCGACCCATTTCACCATCGGACGCCAAACACGAGCTTTCTTGCATCGGCTGTGGTTTCGGTGTTGACACCGCAGGCAGGCAGGCAAGACGTGGGCGAGACCCCCCAGCTTCCTGTGCACCCAGCTTTCCTGCAGACGTGGTCCGCGAGGGGTTCCGAGTTGAACTTGCCCCTTGAGTGTTTCTTTCGCTTTAACGCAGTAGCTGTTTAGAAGGCCTGGGCCCTCTGCGAGACACGGGGCATGGAGACGGGCTCCACTGTGCTTGCGTCCAGGAGGCTGCAGTAGGAATCATCTCAAAGGCTGACTACTACTGAGAGAACATTGTGTAGAAAAGGATTGTTGGGGGGATTTTAAAAATAAATATGCAGATATGAATATTGGATGAACTACGCATTACCATAAAGTGCCCGACAATGCAGTTATGAAATAAAATCAAGATTTGTAACCCAAACTTCACATGGCGGTGTGGCTCTTCTCTTATAACCAGGCAGGAAACCCCTTCGTTTCTCTAGGTGACCGATGGGGGGGCCCTACCATCCCTGCCTCAGCTTTACCTCATTGCAGACTCCAGCCTACATCATCCCGATGGGTGTGGCCCCCTCACTTTGTTCGGGTCCACGATCGTGGGACAGGCACACAGAGTGTTACTAAGCGTACCAGGCCCAACTGGCGTGGCTCAGCGGTTAAGTGTCGACCTAGTGAGTCATGGATCGGCTGCCTCCTGCACGCCCCACACTGGGGATCGAGCCCACAACCCGACCATGACCAGGAATCGAACTGTGACCTCCTGGTTCATAGGTTGATGCTCAACCACTGAGCCACGCCAGCCGGGCTCAGTCCTGTGGTTGTAACACGTGGAGAAATAAAACAACCAAACGAGGCAGCAGGTCCC